CTTTATAAATTTCTTCTCAAGAACCGTAACCAAACTGAACCGTTATAAATAACGTTTCGGGTCTCTGCATAAATCTTCAACGAAATGTCTGCCATATTGCATTGAATAATTGTTGCAATAATTCGGATATTTTATAATTATATTTTTTAAAACAAAAAAGCTTAACCTCATCCCTTTTCATTTATTATATGCCTTAATTTTATACTATTTAGTTTTTTATAAATTCTTTTTTTAAATCCCTTATTTTGGCCTTTTAATATAGTGCCAACCGCAAAAAAGAGAAGAAAAAGTAATATATTCTAATATTTTTTAAAACCTCATCCCTTTTCATTTATTATATGCCTTAATTTTATACTATTTACTTTTTTTTAAATTCTTTTTTTAAATCCCTTATTTTGGCCTTTTAATTATATGCTGCCAGCCGCAAGAAAAGAGAAGAAAAAGTAATTATATTATTTATTTATTTTTCATGGGGATTGGGAATATTTTTAAAAATTTTTTAAAAAAATATTTTAAAAAAAAGATCCCGAATTAAACGTGGGGATTCAAGATCTTGAATCTTCACGTTGGGATTTCTAATCCCACGTGATTCCATATCCCAATACGACATATATATTAGCAACTCTTCCCATTAGTAAACTAATGAGAGAACATTCTCTTTTTAAGAAGAATAACAGCCCTGCAGAGGTACCATTTGCAGGGCACGGCCCGGATTTTTTTTAAAAATATTTTACAGCCCGATTCAGGGGTTTTTATTTTAAATTTTCAGGCCCTCCCCGGCTTTGTTTTAAATAAAATTTTAGGCCAGGCCCAATTTTTTAAAAATAAATTATATTACTTTTTGATTTTTATAGCTAATAATAACGATTTCAATTATAGGCTGTTTTAAAATAACAATCTGGCCCGGATATTTTTTTTAAAAAAATTTCAGACCTCGCCCGGGTGTTTTTTTTAAAAAAAATGGCCCCGGCCCTGGTATATTTAAAAAATTACCCAGGCCTGCAGGTCTCTGAAAAACATACCAAGAAGTACAACTTTTGAAAGTAAATTGAAAGGTTTGGATCTTTTGAATATTCATAGGCATTTGACGACAAGCAAGGATGAGATAATTGAAAAATTAGCTCAATCCCAACGAGATTGGATTTTACATGTAAATATATAACATACAAAATCCAATTATTCCTAAGAAACTCTTTATGTATTAATTTATATTTCCAAAATTTAAATTTTTTATGTATGTAAATTTTAAGGGCTCTAAAAATTCAAATTTCTATTTTGGGTCATTTAAGTGATTCATATAATGGTTATATTCACTTTATATTTTATAATTCACATTTATTTTATAGTTATACCGCCAGTTATATTGGTTTAATATTTTTTAATTCACATTTATTTTATAGTTTTTTATTGACAGTTTATACATATAATTTTTTTGTAATTCACATTAATTTAAAATTGTATATTAGAATTAGTTATTAGTTCTAATAATTTTATGCTTGATATTATTAAAAAACAATATTTCTTAAAAATTTTTATTATCCCCCCCCCCTCCCCCCCAGACAAAATTCCTGCGTACGCGCCTGATTGGGAAAATGAGTATTTATTGTGATCTAATCTTGCCTTTTTAATAATTTTCTTTTCAAATGGATTCAAATTTTAAAAATAAAAAATCTTATCCTATAAAAATAGTTATTTTTATAAAAAGGGATCCCAAAATTTATATCGGTGTCCATCTTGACATTCATATAATCCATATATAGAATTCTGGTTTGTAATTTTTTTACTTCCCCAAAAATTTTAAAATAATTTACTTTATGTATCTCCATTTCGTTTAAAATTACTGACTTAGCGATAAAAAAAATATATATAGAACTTGCGATAAGATAATTATAAAATAAGTGATTTTTAAAAATACATTAAAACATTTGTACTTAATCAATTGAAATATCGACCTATCTTAAATCGAATTATTGACTAATATCGGCACCAATCCGATACCGATATTAGTAAAGGTATAACTCAAAGTAAATAAAAGTATGTGAAGAACAATTTCTATTTTCTCTTACATAAATATTAGTGTTGTTAAAAGTTACTTAGAAATATAACTAGTTACAGTTATTAGTTACATTGGTAAAAATGTAACTAGCTTTTAGTTACAGTTATATTTCAAAAGTAACTAGTGACATAATAGTTACTTTATACATCATTCATAAACACATTATTTACTTACTGAACGCATTTATTTAATATAAAAAAATTAGGATATAATAATTAATCAATTATTTGAAAAAATATACAATTTATTTATATAAAAAAATAATTAAACCAAAAAAAATATCGGAAAATTGAATATATTTATTAGAGACCTGCAGGTCCGCCCCTAAGCCCGGTCCGGGTACACAGGCTGGGACTTATTTTAATTTTTTTAATATACTCAGATCGGGCTTGAAATTTAAAAAAAAATATCCAGGCCAGGCCGTATATTTTAAAACCAAATATTTGAAATCGCTATTATTAGCTATAAAAATCAAAAATAAATATAATATTTATAAAAAATCCGGGCCGGGTCTAAAAACTTTTCTTATTAGTAAGTAATGATTACTAATTTAGTAGTTTATTCAAAAAATATTTAATTTTTAAATAAGCTAAGTCTTTGTCATTCCTTATACTAAGTTCTATGATCGAATTTAGTAAAATTTAAAAAAAAATACATTTATATGTAATTCCATAAATATTACCAGCAACTTGAGGGCAAAGAATATAGAATATGGAATATATTGTGCTAAATAGGTAAAGAAATATAATATTAAAAAATAGGTTTATTAAAAGCAATATAACAATTTAAGAAATGAAAATCTATTTGGACGGGAAATTATATTATTGTTGCATATCCTTTGTGAACACAATCAAACATTTAAACAAAATTTTAAATTAATATATTTTTAAAAAAAATTAATTTCCTTGAATCGGACTGCCCACATGAAAATTTTATTGTAGTGGACAAAATTAGCTTTACCCACCTAGGTTCACCCATTGGAGGTGAAAGTGCTATATTTCATTTCATATATGAATTTCTTGTCAAATTCAATAGAATGAAAAATATTTTAAAACATTTACCTCTGATCAGGCTTTTTATTTATTCAAATATTTTTTATTCATTCCTAAAATTTTACATGCCTTTCGTTTAAAATAATTTTCATGTACCTTTAAATATTATTTTGAGGTTCATTATAAAAAATACTCGAATCTATTTTAAATATCAAATTCTCTTAACTCTTCAGTATAGCTGCCCTTCCACCAAAGCTAGGTGGTATAGGTATCCATTCCCCATATCTTTAAGCATTTCAGCCTTTTTATCCTCAGTTGCTAAATTTCCATACACACTTGGAGACTTGGAGATTATCGGATCCACATCATATGGTAACATCAAACCTCTGGAGCAAAATTTCTCCAAGCCGCTCATATCCAAATTTAAGACAAATAGACTGGAATTTGCCATTGATACAGCATTGCGTTGAATACTTACACTTCAAAGCTGTCATAGAAAATCTCCATCGCTCTTTCTCCCCTAAAACCCAACCCCGATATACAGAATGAAAACAATACGACTCTTTTGCTAGATCAAATAATTCCAGCCTCAGCCATATGCCATCTTGGCTACGAATGGTTAGAAACTATATCTAGTTCTAATTTAGGCTTGTTTAGAAGATATTAGAATAGCTATAGGTCTTCGTTTTGTGAAATCGTAACGCCCACATTATGTGTCCCTTGTGAAACTCATATCGAAAGACTTAGACACCCCCCCACTCGTTTTTCAAGCAAATTATCCAGGCACTATGCCATCGATTTGATCATCAATATAATCTGGAAATTCGCAAATATTCCTTCTACACTGGAACCTTCTGGCTTCAGCCCTGATAGAATGACAATAGTCCCGTGGAATCAATGTATGCCCCTCGCTTGGGATTATACATGTGTAGATCGTTTTGCCAGATCTTTTTATTTCAACTCTATCACAAAGCTGAAAATACAAAAACAAATAAATATAACCACCTTAAATCTTTTGTTCGTTCAGGTAGTCTCAGACACTTGTGGATCATTTGGACCCCAAGCCCTAAAATTATTCAAAACAATATGGCAAAGGTTACGTTTAATCACAGATGATCCAAAAAGGCATCTATCTACGACAAAGAATAAATCAAAATTTGTCGATCCAAATGTATATCTATACATATGGGTCATTAAGCCCCGCCGACCAAACCTAAATACATTATTTTATTTTATTTCTCTTCTTTTAATTATATATTTTTACATAGAATATAGATATAGTATAATAATTTTAATTAATAGTTATGTTATTTTTAAAAAAAACATTAAAAATAAAATTAATTACTGGAATAAATTATTTAGATTTATACATATATATTTTTTTTAAAGTAACTAGTTACTTTTGGCAGTTACATTTCAAAAAAGATAAGTTACAATTTTTAAAATATAACTAGTTATAGTTATTTTTTAGCAAAAATGTAACTAGTTACTTTAACAACACTAATAAATATATATAGTCTGCAAAACAAGTCCGATAAATCGAACTTCTCCAATACAAAAATTTTAAGTTGAAAAATAATTATGATAGGGTTAGGTCCCATATTAAGTTTTTGCTAATAAAATTTATAATTCGGCTTATTGTTGCGAAATCTGCTAAATAATTTTGCTTTAATTTCAAAGTTTATGCCAAATAACTGTTCAGCCTCTAGGTTAAACTAAAAATCTCCGTTAAAACTTGGGTTTACTCTAAAAATTAATCTCGGTTTCACTAAAATGGCTTAAACCTCTGTTAAATATTTTTGAAGTTGGTTCGAGTTAGGTCATTTACTAACACCAAACGGGCCCCACACTATCCAATTTTTAAAAATGATTATACTTGGGCCGATGTTGCAGTCCTGTTCTATTAGCCCTTGTTTTGATTATATGTTCTACATATTTTTTTATATGGTTAGGTCAATTCCAGCGAAGAAAACCAACCGTCTTTAGCCCAACAGCAGCCTAAGGTTAACCCAATAACACTATTTAATCATATTTTTAAAATATAATCGAGTTGAGAAAACGAATATTTTTTTAAAAAAAATATTGAAACCACCATTTAACATTTATTTATAACCATTGGTACAGCCAGGATTTATTCAAGAAGTGTGTGGGGGGGGGGGGGGGGTGTTATCAATTTTTTTTTGAGGCTTAGCTTCCAAAACCCTAGTTGCATGACCCTTCGAAAATTCTGATTAGGTAATTTTTGTTTAAATATTTCTTATTTATCTTTAGTTATTTTATTTTTGCCTTTTAAAATATGTAAAATCTTTTTATGATCTCCATGAAGTTGGCCGAATAATTGGAAGCACTAAATCTAAAATCTATGGCAATATTTCGTGTTTTAATGTCTGTGAGTACTATAACCAGTATAAAGAAAAATTATTAGCAATATAATTTTTCCCAACCTTATGATTAAAAATAGACTGAATCATATTTAGTGCTTACTATTATCTTGATCTGTTTGGTAGATATATAAAGGAAAATGTTATTAAAGAAATTAGAAAAATTGGCATCATCACATAATGGAAAATATACATTAATAACCCTTCATTGCGCGTATCAATAAATGATATAATTTTTTTTTAAAAACTTATTTTTGTAAAAACAATTTTTAAACCGTAAAAACAATTTCAGTGTGTGTATTTAAATACACAATGCCTGTAAAAAATATAATATTTTTTTTCAATTTTAAACCTATTACAAAATAAAGACATATTTTATTATTTGATAAATAATATAATAAAACAAATTTATATTAATTTTCATGAAATAATTTAAAACAATCGTTTTTTGAAGTAAAATATAATAACACCTTGGTACAAATCACTTTAATAACCAATTTATACCCAGGGTTTTTACATCGAGTCTTTTTACTATATTTTGTCCAATGTGCTATTAAATCCTGTCTTATTTCTTTACGCGGAATAACTTGTCGGCTCCTTGCGAGAATTTTCTTTATATTTGGTGTCAATTGTCTACCCTAGCATTCATATTTTTGTTACATTTATAGAGTATCTCTGTAATTGAAATTTTAAATGTTAATAATGGCATCTGTTCTTTTACCTGTAACTTTAAAGCTACAAAATCTCGTCTATACATTAACAAAGAATTTATTAGCATCATGTCAAGTATATGGAATACTATACGGTGATATCATTTACGTGATCTTATGTGAATTATATTTAAAGCTATCAATGAATCCATTAAATCTACACCTCCCATATTTTTATTGTAAACTTTTATAGCTTCCGGACATGGAATTTTAATTTTCCGTCGCCTTTCTAAACCTTTCACAATCTCCAACAGGGTAACTACCTATATACGTAATTAGAATTATTACACACCTATTATGATGCCATTAAGTAGTAATTCTATACCATTTATTGTTGCCTTCTCGATAAAAGATCCACGCTCCATCTTTATGAATTCTTTTTCAGTTAAAACTGACAAAGCTCTCGCTGTAGCAATACTATAAATTTCTTTTTGGGCTAGTAATATTTGAAGTTCCATATGACAGAAACAATTATCAAAACATAATTTAAAATTGGAATGTAGTGGTATATTTACCAATAGTTGAAATAACGCATTTTCGCTTGCCCCGATATCATCCATTTACATATTCAATTTTTCCCGTTTATTTTATAAAATTATAAACTAGCCCTTCATCATTGTATAATAGAAATGCTCTATATCCCCATTTTTTTGGATTTTGTGGATTGTATTGTTTTATACTCCGTTATATGGTATAATTTGTTCGTCCACACAAAGCTCCTTCATAGGAATTTCTTTTAAAAAAAAATCGGAAATAAGAAGAGGCCGGATTTTAAAAGGATCATAATTTGTTGAATCTGGAGTTGGTGTAAAGGCATTATCATTAAAATGGAGCGAAGCTATTATTTGTTCCCATCTTTTCTGGCACATTACATTAGCAACTGATGATTGCCTTGTATTTGCTCACTAATATATATTGATCTTGGAAGCTTTATATAAAAAATAATACCTATAAATTGCTCTAGTTCATTTTTATTTATATTTTGAGGAGAGTTAGGATTTTTTTGAATGGCATTCAAGTTGGATTGCTTAACTATTATATCAATTACCTTCTCCAGAAATTTTATATAGTAGGAGGTTGGGTTCATAATATTTACTGACATATTCTTTTTATGGGAATCATCATGGGCTTATTGTTTTAGAATCTTTTCATTTAATTTTTCTATAATCTTTCTGAGTCATTATTGTTTGCTCATCACAATCACCTAAATATATATATATAAATTATATTTTATAATTTACCTATACACTCTCCCAAAATCCTATTTCAGCCTCATCGTGGCGGGGGAGTGGCAACGTTTGGCGGCTAATGGCTAAAAGGTTCCCTATGAGCTGGGTCTAGAATAGGATCACCGTCTCCTTGACGGGGTGTAAAAACCACTTAAAGAGGTTGATGTCAGGAAGGGCATCCGATTGTAAAAACCTTGCTACAAAATTTCCCTATGGTTACAACAAAGCATGGGCGGGGTGCAGCCCAAAGTACCCCGTAGGCCTCCTCATCCGCCTACGACAAAAAGAAGGATGGGAAACCTGGTGGAACCAATATTCATGAAAATGAAACTTATGACGGCCATAAACGACCTGATAAAAAGTGGAGAAACCAGTTTACGGGTGATCGAGTTAGGGTCGCGATGGAATGTTGGGAGTATGACGGGAAGAGCAGGAGAAGTCGTCGATGTATTGCACAGAAGGCATATAGATGTGTGCTGCATATAGGAGACTAGATGGAAAGGAGATGGGACCAGAATTATTCGCAAGACTAGCGAAAGTATAAATTCTTTTGGCAAGGAGGTAATGATGGTAAGGCTGGACTTGGGGTATTGGTTGCGGAGAAATTGGTAGACAAAGTAGTCGAAGTGATAAGGCTAGACAACCAGATAATGGTTATCAAGATGATTTTTGGTAGAAAACTATATAATATTATCTCGGCATATGTTTCTCAGATTGGAAGAAGAGAAAGATATATTTTGGGACAGTCTATTGGGGGTGACATCGAGACTGGCAAATAAAGAGGGGATTATCCTGGCTGGTGATCTTAATGGACATATGGGAGCGAGTAGTAAGGGTTATGAAGGAGTACATGGAGGGTGCAGTTACGGCATGAGAAATTTGGAAGGAGAGAGGATTTTAGATTTTAGTGATACTATGGATATGATTGTCTGTAATACAATGTTTAAGAAAGAATCAGAAAAGCTGGTGACTTATAAGTCGGGTAGTACCAAAAGTGCAGTGGATTACTTGTTATTAAGGAGATGTGATCGATGTATAGTAAAAAATGTGAAAGTGATACCGGGAGAGGAATGTATAAATCAGCATCGACTAGTTGCAAGAGATCTCACTCTTAAAGGTGCCAGGATCACTAAAATAAAGTTTGTCCCAAGGCTGAAGGTTTGGAAATTGAAGGAGGAGAGTGCTAGACGTCAATTCAATATGGCATTGGTGATTAGGGAGGCGGAGGTGGCACAAGCATCTGGGGTGAATGACAAGTGGGAAGCCATGAAAAAGCCTGGGTAATGACAACTGAGGAGGTATGTGGATGGACAAAAGGGCCGCCTAGACATAAGGAGACTTGGTGGTGGAACCCGGAGGTAGCGAAAGCCGTGGATGAGAAACGGAGGTGTTTCAAAGTATGGTATAATAGCAAAGAAAATAGTGATAATGATATTTACAAGATGGCTAAAAGAAATGCTAAAAAATTAATAGCGAAGGCTCAAGAAGAAAAAAGACATGAGTTTGCTAAAGAAATGGAATGCGCTAATTGAATTGGAAATATGGTTCAAATGGCAAAACAGATGTCAAAAAAAAGATATAGGAAAAATGGCGATTGATGGTAGTGGTATTAAGAACACCTGGAAGATTTACATGAAAGGACTTTTGAATGAAGAAAATGAATGGGATAATAATAATATTAGTTGTGCAAAGGTAGAAGGTCCAGGGTGTAAATTTGGCAAGGACGAGATAAAGAGAGCATTGAAAAAGATGAAGAAAGAGAAGGCATCGGGTCTAACGATGGTGGTATCAGAGATGTTTAAAGGTTCTGGTGATTTAGGGATTGAATGGTTAATGAATTTAGCCAATCAAATTGTCACAGAAGGTACTATTCCCGAGGACTGGCTAAGAAGTATAATTATCCCAGTATACAAGAAAGGTGATCCTTTAGATTGCGGGTCTTACAGAGCTATTAAACTCTTGGAACATGCAATGAAAGTATTTGAGAGAGCATTAGAGAAGCGGTTAAGGGTACAAATTAAAATTGATGAAATGCAGTTTGGTTTTGCATCGGGAAAATGCACGACAGATGCAATTTTTGTGGTGAAACAAATTCAGGAGAAGTATCTTGCGAAGGAAAAGAAACTCTATTATGCGTTTGTTGATTTGGATAAAGCATTTGATAGGGTGCCGCGTGAGATTACTAGATGGGCCTTGAGAAAATCAGGTGTGGAGGAATGGTCGGTTACCGCAGTGATGGCAATGTATGTTAGAGCACAAACAGCAGTACGGGCGGATTATGGTGATAGTGACAGCTTTGAGGTGAAGGTAGGACTTCATCAAGGATCCTTGCTGAGTCCATTATTATTTATCTTAGTAATGGATGTGGTGGCTAGAGAAATGCATGAAGGACTTCCCTTGGAGATATTATATGCAGATGACCTTGTATTAATGGCAAACAGTGAGGGAGAATTGAGGGATAAAGTTAGTAAATGGAAGATGACTATGGAAGCAAAGGGCCTGAAAATGAATGCATCAAAAACAAAGGTGATGATTGGTGGGGAAAATCTAAAGATGGAGGAATCCGGTAAGTGGCCTTGTGGTGTATGTGGGAAAGGAGTTGCTAGAAATTCTATCCATTGCACCAGATGCCAGAAATGGGTACATAAAAGATGTAGCGGGAAAAAAGGTAGTTTGATGTTAG